GTGTGTGAAAAAATTCTTCTCATATATATATATATATATATATATTTGAAGTTACATATGTTAAGTAATTAAAAGATCCAATCACTTAATATATTTAATTTATCAATCAAATAATATATTTAATTTTAATATTAATAAGTACATTGTATTTAGACATTTTAATATAATAATTTATTTTCTTATATTATCAACACTAAAAACCATGTAGCGACTATTTTTGTAATGTCTCAACATTATTTTTTTTTTACTAAACTTCTAATATCTAAATATTATATTAAATTTTGATTAATTTAAAGTTGAAACTTATAAAAAAACTTTTTTAATGTCTATCACTTTATTTATAAGATTCAAATTTATTTTTTTAAAAAAAAAATCAAGATTCTTCTATTCAAACTAACAAATTATTAATAAGTAACATCCCAACATATATTATAATAAAATGCATTTTTCTTTTTTATTCTTTGTTGCACTATGATAAACAATTCTCTTTCATTTTTTATTCTATTTTATTTATATATTATACAATTCAAATTTAATATCTCTTACTTCTAACAGAAATAAAAAAAACTAAATTATTTAAATTGTTTGCGTAAAATGCATTTCTCTCTAATTATCTACCGTTATTTTTCATGCTTCAAACCTAATAACGTATGCGAGAGGATTCCGATTTGATCTAGTATTTGTGTACTGATTTTAATTTATTAAATAAAAAATATTAACTATTTTATTAGTTATTAACTATTTAAAATAACTAAACTAATAAAATATCAATAAATTAAGTGATCTTAACAAAATGGTTAAACCCTTAATTTGGTCTCTCAATTATTCTATGAATTTCTAAATTTGTTCCTTAACTAAAAAAATTCCTAATTTAATCCTTAATGTTTTCAAATTTGGCTTCAAATTGATCATTTTATTAAAAAAACAGTTGATATATTCTTTACTTGACAGGAAAAAGTCATAACTTAATGGCCACATATCATGTTAATAACAAAATATATTAGTTGTTTTTTAATTAAATGACTATTTTAAAACCAAATTTAAAAACTTTAAAAATCAAATTATAAATTTTTTTTTAATTTAAGAACTAACTCAAAGAACCATACACCAGTTAAGAAACCAGATAAAAAGTTTAACCTAACCAAAATGATGGTGATAATAACCACAACCTACCCAAAGGCTTACAGCTCACTACATCGACAATTACTATTGCTGTGATGCAAAATCAAGTCATTGACTTTGGCTAAAGATGGGCTGACTAGAATGAAATTGACGCAAAGTGGCTATCTGTTTCCACCGAGTCAAAGCACGTTACTTGCTCGTTGCGACTTTGTATCCCTTTTCATAAGCCAGATTTTTCAAATCCATCCTAAAAAATTATTGGTAAAAATATATTTACATTTTAAAAAAAAATTATCTTTTTAAATCATAAATCAATATAAATTACTTTTTTTTTCAATATTTTTTGTTAAAAAATGTTAACATGATAAACAAAATTTTGACGTTTTTTATTAAAAAATAAGTGATTTGTATTGATTTATGATTTGAAAAGATAATTTATTTTTGTTTTTTTTTTTAAAGGTAAATGTGTTTCTACTGATATTTTTTTAGAGTGGATTTAAGGTTTTGCCTTTCCATAATTCCATTACACGAATTATTAATTTACCCTCACCAATTCCTGATACTTTTTTCTCCTTTTTTGTTGTAATTTTTGTGTTATATAAATAAATATAATTTTTTTATCTTGTTATTTTATTTAAAGTCATAATGTCTTATTTCTATAAAAATAAGATAACTGATAATTACTTAGCCATTTAAGTAATTAGGACTTTCAAATAATTTTGGGCATAACTCCCGAAGACATGGCTTATAACTATATTTGTTATTTTGCTCTTCAAACAAAAAAAAAAAAAAACTATAATTGTTATTTCAGGAAAATGGGCTGTACCTAAAAACGTACTTCTTACTTACTGAAAATAAATATGGAACGACTTTTTACTTAGCATTTGGTCAAACAGCGATAAACCGCCATTTTGATGTGATGCAGGGATTAATAATTTGAATGTGTTAAATTTGAATTTTTTTTGTTGGTAGTGAGTTCAAGTTAAATGGTCGAATATTTAAAAATTGAGATTTTATTTACACTTATATATGTGTGTGTAATATCATAGAATATTTACTTCCTCTTCGTAACACAGTTTAGGAGAAAAGATCAACATGGAGATATATATTGTAAAATATATCTTTATTTGAAGATATTATAGATACGTCAAGAACATTAAACAATAAAAATAAAAACATACAAGACACCTGTATTGTTATTACAACACAACTACACAAGGACAACGTTGTATAGACTATAGACAACATTGCGGAGTAAAAACTACAATAGTTAGTAGACAGCTACAGCACCAACGAAATCCTTAGAAATATATATATATATATATATATATATATATATCTAATTAAGGGTGAGGGGAGGGAGAAACGGAAAAGGAGTTGGATTGCGCCAAAGACCAAGCATGCCGGCTGACTTCCACTTGACCGCAGATCAAGCCACCATCTCCAGAGCATGAAACTCATGAGCACCCACGAAATATTGATCATTGACCAGGGCATGCAATGTCTCGGGCAAAAGGCAAGCTTCGATATCAATACTACCTTCCTCTACTCCAGGGCGCACTACCATCATCCCATTCACCTTGTTCCCTGGTCCGCTTCGTAATGCAATTGGCCTTCCCCATCCAAAATCATTTCCATATGCATCATACCGGTGTGAACCAATTCCGAACAAGCCATTTACAGCGTTGACCATGCCCGGCGTGATTAACACAGGGCTTTTTGGCCATGAAGTAAGGAAATTGCTCATAGTTTCTTCAGTTTGTGCAGCAACCGTTCTGTTCATTTGCAACGCCACGTTACCAAGTCCTCCCTCTAGTAATTCCCTCGCCTTTAGTGTCAGACCCCCAAATTGCACAGCATTTCCAAAGTATTCTTGTGGCATGGATCGTAATCTTGGTCTTACGCTAAACGCCAGTCCATGAGAAATCTCTTCATTGGGGTCAGGGTGTTTCGTGCGGTAAACAGATCGCCAAACATGAGCTAAGACTGCTTGAAGAGAAGAGATCTTGTTAGAACCAACCTCAGCATTGGCTTTTGCTTTGAGTTTTGCAATACTTTCTCTTGTGAAATGGAGGACGTTTTCATCCAAAGGTGATGGAATGTGCTCATCATGGATTTGTTTAAGTTGTGAACTCGGGAAGCGAATGGGACCATCTGTGTGATCTTTAAGATACGAACGTTCGAAAACAGGAGGTTTAGATAAATCAACGGCACCTCGAGAAATTTCGGACCAAGAATTGAGGAAATGCCAAAATGACGTGCCATCCGTGACAGAATGGTTGACTGTGCAACCAATGAAGATGCCATCATCTAGCTCAGTCACCTGCACCCCTAATATCGGCTTGGAAGTGGCCTCAATGTTCTTCACTCCGTTTAGTGGAAAAAAGGAGTAAACGGAAGGATCACGAGCATGTTGAAGGATATCGTATGTCCTTACTCCGTCAGCTACAGCATGGACAAATAAAGCACCAGTATTGTTGCAATCAATAGAGAAGGAAGTGGTGTCGTCACCATGTTGGATTGCGCCAAGTCGGCCTGCAAGAGGTGGGAAAAAGTCTAATGTGCGAGCAAGAGAGTCCTTCAAGTGGTGTATCAAATTTCCTGCATCTTGTTGGGGGTTTGGCTTAGGGAAGAGAAGTCCTTTCTGGATAGGACCAACAGGAAGGAATTGAAGATCCCAGGGAGTGGGTTCAATCCTTTGAGTTGGTCCCCTGTGACTCAGTGCTCGTACTACACTTTTGGAGATGTTTCGAATGCTTCCCATCCTCAGATGATATTACTGCCAAAAGAATCAATTATAACAAATTAAAAAAAATAACTTTGAACAAGACCAAATGTCAAGGAGTAATTATATTTCATTTCAAACCATAAAAGATTATATAACCTGAACATATTCATGATGTGCATTTAAGATAGAGATATAGAGAAATCAAATGCATGTATATTTACCAAATAGAGCTTCTTGGTTGGAATATTGTCTGTGGCAACAAAGGAGATGGCTTGAATATCTGGAGATTGGCAATGCAAATCTGACTCTGCTTGGAGGCAATGACATGTCTAAGCGTGCATGGAAGCTTATATAATAAATCAGTGACGTGATTTCGTCGGCATATCTACCAATTCAAAATCAATATTTTATATTATGAAAACTTTAGGATAAAGTTATAAATCGGTCCTACTTGTCTTTGTCCATTGTCGGACGAATCAAAAAGGCTAGTACCAATTATCTTATTGTTTGGACCATTTCCCCTGGCTCCGTTAATAGCGGAACAAATCAAAAATGCAAACACAACGAATGTCAGATGACTATCTCAAAGCACTCCTTCGTGACTTGGTCCGTAGGCCCTTGCATCAGAAATTGGCTAAAAAGTTTGGGCCCATTATCGGCCAACAAAAAGTGAAATTCTCTTGCAAAACAAATATCTAGAATTCTGAAACCACTAATTTTACAACTACAGGCCATCTCGTTTACAGAAAAATGAACTTGGGTGCAATTAATTGGACCCTATCTATGATATATATTTCTTTTTAAGAAATATTACGTAATTTAAATTAAATTAAATTATATAACTTGAATCATTTAATAAAAATTATCTCTCTATTTTTGTTTTTCAAGTTGGATTATAAAATAAGACATTTTTTAATTATATATTTGAAGTTACATTTAAGAGAATCTGCCCGTTTGATCTGGTACTTATGTACTAGCGCATCGTTCTTATAATTATTACTATTTAAATCAATTTTTCTATCGTTGAGGTAAAGTGCTTAGTTTGAACAGGTCAGTTCGATGTAGCAGATCACACTTCACGGCTTCACGCTACCCAAATGCTTACTGTATCATTTTGATAATTATCATTGTGTGAAAAATAATAAATATATTTTTCAGTTCTACATATTAATTCAGTTATTAAAATTTATGTTTAAAAATTTTTTTATCGTAAATTTAAATTTAATAGTAATAAATTTTTAATAAATATATTATAAAGTATATTAAACTAAAAAGTATATTAAACTAAAAAGTATACTAATTATTTTTATTACTGTGCTAAAAAGATGGGTCGGCAAAAAATGAAGATGATGCAAATTGGCAATCTATTCCTTCGAGTCAAGGCATGTTACTTGTTTGTTAGGACTTTGTATCACATGTTTGGACTTTGTATGCATTTCTTTAATTCTGTTACTTACACAGAATTATAAATTGACGCTTACCAAGTCCCAAATTATTACGCCATATGAAGATATTTAGAGAGAAAGTGTCAACAGCTAAGATATGTAATGTGTTTTTAAGTATTTTTGTCAACTATATACATATGGTATGGGGAATTGAGATGGATAAGAGTTGAAATTGTGAGAAGATATAATTACTGTAAGAACTAGGGAGAGAAATCGGTAAGATATGTAATGCTTTAGGTAAGGGTCTCGATCTCCTGTTCCAACTCTTATCGACTCAAGTTGAACCAAATAAGGCTTGACTCTTACCAAAGCCACACCATTATATTCAGTGAAGATAGGGAGCTTGGGTGTATTCATTCAACATCAACTCACTATCCATCAATTGTCGACCATGAACAAAAATTAATTGTAAATCACTAATTATGTTTGCCATTACAATTTTCAATCAATTTGTCAATACTTTAGCCAATGGTACAAACAACCAAGCAAACTAATAGGAATTTGACCACCAATAAGTACACATTTAAGAATTTTAATCTTTTTTTATGGCTCAAAAATAAAGTTACAAGTTGTGTTTTTTCTATTAAGATTGGGTTTTGAGGCCTATAGAATATAAAGAAGTCATTGTTCAACACTGCAAATGTTTGAAAAGTTCCAAAGTGCTGAAAAGAGGTATGAATTGATTTTAGTTTTATTTTATTTTTTTGGTTATATTGAACAACATTATACTAGTTTATTCGCTTGTAAAGTAACTACATTTGAGATTTAGTTTTGGGGGTGTACTTTTTTTGTTAGTATTCCTTATACCCCTTAATAATATATATTTCATATGGTTTTGTTGATTAAAAAAAAAAAGAGATGAATTTGGAAGTGAACATGTCAAATTGAAACAAAGAAAAATAAAGGGACTAAACTTTACAGCTTTGAAAACTTTGGGTGCATTTTAAATAAATTGAAAATTGAGGGCTCAGTTGCACAGTATTAGAAAGATGGGGCCGAATTAAAATTGAGAAAGATTATCCTTTTGATCCGTTGACTCAAATTTAATGTTAAAGCTCAATTAAGAAAATTTTACCACAACTAAGTAATTAATTTTAATTAATAAAATTTAATTAATAGTAATTAACTAACTTAATTAATCTCAATTAAATCAATCAAATCTTGATTAGTTCAAATTAACTTAATCAAATCTTTGTTAAAATTAATTAAAATTTATTAATGTAATTAATTAAAACTAATTAAATTAATTAATTAATTAATTGACTAATACAAGTTAATTAAACATAATTTATATATCAGGCAGATTTGGATTTTGGTTGGGCTTTGGCTCATTTCCATTCTAAGTTGTGCTCCTTTTTAGCCCAAAAAAAGGACAGTTGAGCCTGGCCCCCAAAAGAAAAGGGTTTGAGCCTTTAAGGCTTTAAGCCCTAAGTTAGACGGGTCAGCCCGACCCGAACAACGCGAACCGAAGGGATAAACGGACCGAAATGGATCAAACGAGGGTTTTCAAACTGTTCTTCACATGACCGGATTCTGGCACAATTCCGGGCATATTCCAGATTCCGGTGACACTCCAAAAATTCAGAAAAATGCCAAAAAAACTCCTAAAAATGGCAATGCTACCCGGATTCAATTTTTTAGCTAAATGGAGAAAACCCAAGGTTGAGTGGACAAACCCAAATCCTCAAGCAATCAGTGCATATCAATCAATCATCAGCAAGTTCCAAATACGTTCAACAAAGATAAATTCCAAATCTAAAGCAAAATCTAACGTTTCATTCCATTTTGCACTGAAATTACACTACAATTTGGAAGAGGACAGGAGATCCAGACCCTTAACTAAAGCTTCGGGACTCCAAAGCACAGATCTCCTACCTGCATGCCCTTTCCTCTTCTTCTCTTTTTCTCTCAGACGCAAGAACAGAGGAGATGAAATTCGAAAATCAAAAAGAAAAAAAACGCCGACCCCCCAATGTCTCTGATTTCTACCTATCTATAGGTCAAAGGAGGAAAGTAAAAACTTAAAACCCTCAAACTCTCAGTCTCCGATCTTCCTCTTTTTCCCTCAAACCTTGATTTGAAGGGGACAAAATTGGCTCCCTTTGTCTCCGGTCGACAAAGCCGTCCTCCTCCCCAGAAAAAGAAAAGGACGATGAAGGGTAGAGCTTTGTCTCTTGCTCGGCCCTGGCTGTGGCTGTGGCTGTGGCTGTGGCTGCAGCGTGGGGCCTTCTCCTCTGGTTTTTGTTCCCTCGTCGGAATCACAGAGGGACAACCGTTGGGTGAGAATTAAGATGAAAATTAAGGATCACTAGGGTGTTTTCTTTTCTTTAATGAGGATTAAATGGTGGGCTTAACTGGGAAAATTTTCTTTGATTAGGATTAAATGGTAGGCTTAAGTGGGAAAAAGAAGGACTAAGTTTGGGCCAAGTGTAGAAGTTGCAGACGGGCTTAGGCTAATCTTGTGGGCTTTGGAACTACAATTGGATTTTTGTTTTAAAAGGAGTGGGTCTAGATCTGCTACTATTTTCATTCTATGTTCATTTCTCTGGGTCCCTTTTGTAATTTCATTTCATTTCTCCTCGGATTTTCCTTTTTTTTTTTTTTTTGATTAGATGGTGAATCATATAATAAGAGATAATACTTCCCTTTTTAAACCCCTCCACTCATCTCAAAATTTAGATTTAAAATCTATAATATGAAATCTTTAACTTTTAAAACATCCCAAAAAACTTGAATTTCCTTTTTTTTTTAAGTAACATGTCATGAAACAAAACAAAATAATCTCATTAATTCTTTTTTGTAATTTTTTTATTTTTATTTTTCATTTTAGTTTTTTTTATTGATAATTAATTTTTTTTAAATTGAGTTATAATAAACACTAAAGTGCTTGTTTGGTTATAAAGCTAATTTTATTAGAAAAGTTTTTATTAAGAAAGTTGTTAGAAAAATATTTAATAAAAAGTTGATAAGTACTCTACAAAGTTAATAAGTTTTACAATTAAATTTTGTTGAAATAGAAAATTAACAATTAAGATGTTATGACATTTACCACATAATAAATGGAATTTATGTAGGACTTACATTATGCCTTACTCAGCATGTGGTTTTAATTGAACATTTTGATATTAAAAATGTCAAAATATTTTGATTTTTCACTTTTTTTTGTTGGAATTTTTTTTTGGATGGTTAACTTTTCATGTTTGATAAGAAAATAATATAGAAAAAGTTGATAGAGAAGTAAGTCCTATATAAGGAAAGTTAGGGAAAAACATTTTTTTTTCAAAAAATATAAGAAGAATTAATCAAAAAATATATATGAAGAAAAATTTATGAATGAATAATTATGTTAGGAAAATAAAAACTAAAAATATCACTTTCATCTTTCTTTTGTTTTAATATTAATTTTTTTTAACGATAATAAATTATTTAATTAGTGAATGTAAAGAGTATTTAGACTTATATATATATATATATATATATATTAGTTGTATGTTAGAATGTAACTCACTGTATTATTGACAGTTTATCATAGGTCTTTTATACTGATGCAAGTGCTTCCCACCAACTGTTAATGATTTAGCAAAAGGCTGCAATTCATCCTTTACGCCCCGGATCCTTTTTGATCAAGACAGAGACCTCATGCATAATGCCACTTTTATAGTATTAATTAATGTGTAAAAATTTATAAATAATTTTATAATTAAAAAAGTTTAGAGGTAGAACTTTCCCCCAAACCAAACAGCCCCAGAGCTTTCCTTCTCTTCTACAGTGCGATTTTGAAAAGGGGGAAGTTACTTTTGAGTGTTATGTAATTTGATTCATGTTTCCATTACAATTTAACAATTGCCATTTCCACACTAACAAAATACACAAAATAAATAAAAATTGTCTAGTTGTGAAGTTGAGGTTCACATGAACATTGTGACGAGAAAGAATTTCAAATTTGACGTTTATTGAGAATTTGGCCTTTATTGAGAATTTGGCATACAACATATGATGGTTTTGTTTGAGAAAATTAACGTACATAATCTTAATTGAGGGTTGAAGATAGTTACTAAAAAAACTAAATAGTTACAGCATGCCAGCACCCATGAAGTCTTGGTCACTAGCCAAGGCGCGCAACGTCTCTGGCAAAAGGCATGCTTCGATATCAATACTCCCATCTTCTACTCCAGGACACACTACTATCATCCCATTAAACTTGTTCCCAGGTCCACTTCGTAAAGCGATTGGCCTTCCCCATCCAAAATCATTTCCATATACCTCATACCGATGTGAACCAATCGCATTCAGGGCACTTGTTGCGTTGACCATGCTCGTTGTGATTAATCTAGGACTCTTCGGCCATAACATGAGAAAGTTTTTCAATTTTTCTTCGGTATGTGCAGCAACCATTTTGTTCATTTGCCATGCCACACTACCAAGTCCTCCCTCCAGCAATTCCCCTGCCTTTAGGGTCAAATTCCCAAACTGCACTGCATTTCCAAAGTATTGTTGAGGTAGCTGGGATTGTAATCTTGGTCTAACACCAACTGTTAATCGATGAGAAATCTCTTCATTGGGGTCAAGCTGCTTTGTGCGGGAAATAGATCGCCAAATATGAGCCAACAGTGCTTGAAGAGAGGAGATATTGTCAGAACCAGCCTCAGCATTGGCTTTTGCTTTGAGTTCTGCGATGTTTTCTTTGGTGAAATGCAACACTTTTTCTTGCAATGGGAGCCGAATTGACTCATTATGGATTTGTTTGACTTGTGAATTGGGAATGTGAATGGGAACATCAACAGTACCATTAAGAAACGACCGTTCAAAAACAGGAGGTTTAGATAAATCAACTGAACCACGAGAAATTTCAGACCAAGAATTCAAGAAATGCCAAAATGACATGCCATCGCTCACAGAATGATTGACGGTGCAGCCAACGAAGATGCCATCATCCAGCTCGGTCACTTGCACTGCTAGTATTGGCTTCGAAGTGGCTTCAATGTTTTTAATCCCATTTAGAGGGAAAAACGAGTGAACACAATAAGGTACATGAACATGTTGAGTAATATCGCTTGTCCTTACTCCCTCAGCAACAGCATGCACAAACAAGGCTCCGGTGTTGTTGCAGTCAATAGAGAAGGAAGTGGTTTCATCCCCATGTTGGACCGTGGCAAGCCGGCCGGCGAGGGGTGGAAAAAAGTCCAAGGTGCGTGAGAGAGAGTCTTTCAAGTGGGTTATCAGAGTTTTTGTTTCTTGTTGGTGATTTGGTTTGTGGAAGAGAAGTCCCTTCTGTATAGGACCTAAAGGGAGAAACTGCAAATCCCATGGAGTTGGTTCAATCCTTTGAATTGTTCCCTTATTACTTAAAGCCCGAACCACACTTTTAGAGACGTACCGAATGCTTGACATTGTGAGAAGATATAATTACTGCAAGAACATGTGATCAACTACAAAATTTAGAGTCAAATCCTCTATAAATTTATGAACCTAATTTGATTTCATTGTAAAACAACTTAATTAGAAAAACTATATTCAAGTATTCAACCAAACCAAAACAAACAACTTTATATAAAATCCAACGTTACCGGTGAAAAAGACGACTACTATTGTCAATATCAGAGAAGGAGCTAGTGCGAACGGCGGTGATGGCAATAAGTTGTCGAACGGTGCGTGGTGCCCGACTTTTATTCTGAATCAATAACGTAATTGAAACGTTAGAAAAAATTCAGCATGGAAGCTCATATCGAATGTCAACGAATTAAGGCGTTTTCCACTTTGCAAGGGGGCTGCTAAGGCGCCATTTTATATGAGTTTGTTAATTTTATGATTCTAAGTGTTTCATAAAAAATTCTTAACTAGTCCAACCATGTGAGTTTGGAAATAAAGCATGATATTTGCTTTTTCTAAAACCCAAAAAATTGGATTTTCTTGTGAGTTTGGGAATAACTTTATTCTATACCGTATGTGGAGGGTTAAAAATATTAAAAACAATTAAGTTAAAAGATTTAAAAGATCTGCATGGGGTTAAACTTAAATCCTGTAACAAATCTCATAAATTATAATTTGAAACCCAAAATCACTTCGCTCTACTCAATTTTTCTCTTTATATACCATAAACTATATCCTTGATGAAATATTTCAATTGTGCACCTCACATTAGTTTGATATATTTAAAAAAATTAATATTTTTTAAACATTAATTTCAAAATTTGAAATCTACCTAACTTATAAAATCATACTAGTCTAGCAGTGGATGCAACCTCAAGTTCTAGGTGCAGGACTTGCCATGCAATATTTTTAAAAAAAAATACAAATCTAAAGAAGAATGCAATTTGCTATTTAGTTTCTTTTTTTTTTTTTAATTTTCATTTAATTCAATTATTTTTTTATTAAATTAAAATTAAAATGTTTAATGGGTTAGGTTTTTTTTTTAAAAAAAATGGATTTTAGAACTTAATTTTGATTAAAAATGAGCAATGGTCATGAGTTAAATATTTGGATTTAATAGTGTTTTTTAAAAAAATTAGCAAGGATGGGATCCTCACAGGACTCCACGGTAATGAAAAAAAAAATACCCCCATCTTTTTCTTGTTCCCATAATCGAAATCCCCACAGTAAATTAGAGAAACTGTTATTCCTATTTACATCATAATGTGAGAAAAACTTGAGGAATCTCCATTAAAAAAATAGAAGACATAGGAAAGAAAAGACAAACTATATATACAATTGTTACTTACATCAGTGTTATTATGCAATATAACCTCCACAAAATCCTTCTCGCCCTTAAATATATTCTACAATTAATTAGTAATGGTGAGGTAATGTTAGCCATTGTATTAATGTCAACACCTTTCTTTATTAAGAACCTTAGGAGTTTCTTAGATCTTGCAGCAATCCAACAAATTGAAAATTTTATATTGCAACGCAACCAAAGCAAATGGGAGAGAAGGAGAAGTTCCAAACCCACGAATTGCAAACTAATCATGCAAGTAGAAATAGAATTCTAATAGCATCATTACATCATCATCTATATATTTATATATAATTGAATTCTTATTGTTATAAAAATAATCAACTATAAAATTAGAGTAAGAATTCACTTACATATAAATCTTCTATATCACTTTTTCACAAAATTTTGATCATTTATCTTCACTTTTAATAATTGAGTTTATCATAAAATAATAAAAAGTGAATAAATTTTAATTATTAAAAGTGAACAAATGAATGGTCAAATTGTGAGAATATTAGAGTAACGTGCTTGAATATGATGGAATCAAATTATGGGATACTCCTAATTGTATTCTTAATAAATAAATACGCATACGTTATTGCTACAAATAAATTTAAAAGAGATAAAATTAAATTGGAAAATAATTGGTACACTAGAATTGTCTTTAATTAATATGATAAAAATTAAAGTGAATAAATTTTAACTATTAAAAGTGAATAAATAAATGATCAAATTATTGAAATATTAGTGTAACGTGCTTGAATATGATGGAGTCAAATTATGGGGTTCTTCTTATATTCCTAAGAAATAAATAGACATACGCCATTGCTACAAATAAATTAAAATGAAAAATAATTGGTATTACTCTTCAATCCAATGCATCTTTTGACACTCATCTGATTTAATCATTGAAATATAAGATACGTAAAACTAATTTAACTGATTCTGACATTCTGTATACATAATTGTATGTGTACATAATTGTATCTTTAAGTTCAT